AACAATCCATGTTCTCATGACTTGTATACCGGTCAGACACGAATTTACGTGACTCAAATTTGTAAAAATGTAACAACACACAAGTTGTAAATCCTTTTTTGGGTGTCAAGCATGAAACATGAATTTAAAGTTCAGAATTTTACTAAATTGGTCTCTAAACATCGAGTAAATTTAAAGTGTACCCGCTAAACTTTGAAGAATCTATACATGTATATAAATGTTTATATGTGTCGCGTTTCAAACAAACTAAATTTGAGTCTTATGTATTAAAACTTATAATTCGTTTTTGACATGAATACACATGAGTAGAAATTTTAAAAAAAGCATACAAGGAGAACTTACGTTGTTATCATGGTGTTTCAGCAGTATGGAATTGTCATATCTATATATGAGATGTGCTTATGTGCACATGTATCGTCTGTAGATGCATATGTAGATGCATAGATGTGCACATGTGCTCATGCATATTTTCTGATGAAAAAGTATTTTAGAATTAAATTTCACACTAAAAATTTTGACACAAAAATAATTGTATCAAAATTGCAAGAAATCTCTAAAATCTGATTAATAAATACAAAATAATAAGAAAATGCTTCATTTATTTCTAAGTTCTAGCAATACGTTAAAGAAAGTAAAAGTGAATAGTATTGAAGACATAAATATATGTTATTTAGTTGAAAAACATTAATGTTAAAATTTTTGGAATTTCAGTGGTAATTTTGTTTTTTTGTTGTTTTCATTTTTTTTGATAATTTTCTGTTGTAATCATAATAAAACACATTATACATTATCTAAGCTCGAAATGTCTATTTTGGAGATGGTAATTATTTAATAAAAACCCAAAATCTTAGTCATTCCTTTTGTGATCATTTTTGTATTTTTATAAATTACATTTTTATTAAGTATTATTCATTCCTAAACATATTGTTATAACATGTAGACACATAAAAGGTTTTTATTTTAGCTCGATATTTAAAACGACATTTGCACAAACTTGAAAGATGAGCATTCATGTTGTATTAGATGTTACGTTATTGAGTTTTTAGTTTAGTCTTTTGTATTAATGAGTTGGGTTTGTCCACTTGTATTTATGTCTAGGGTTAGAGTATTTAAGATGAATGCATTGATCATATTTTTGTTAACTCTGATTATTACGCTGTAACCCTAATCACGCCTCTACAGTAACAATTCTTCATAGAGTTCTTTTGTGGCATGACACTTAATCATTCGACATTTCTTTGAATTATCGTTGTTTTACCTTTTTTACTTGTTTTGAATCTAAACAATCTTTTAATGATTATTTAATCCTAACAATTGGTATAAGAGCATGATATTGTGTAATCTATACACATCTCTTCTGTTTATTGAGTTATTAGGGTTTCCATTAATATAGGATCTTGTTTAGTCGTCTTTATTGTGTTTTTTACGACATACAGTGATCTTGATATTACCCTATAATCTATCTTAGTTTACACATCTGATTCATAACAGGTTATATAGATGTTATCATCATGCGGCATGATGATTCTCACATAAACTCTCTAAATATTTCTAGCAGGATTGGATCAACAACAAGGATCCCGATTCTCTTCCCTTGTGAATATGATGTTTGGGCGCTTCACTTTAAATATTAAATTCTCGATTCAGATGATAATGGTTATTTGATATGGGAAGCCATTACTCTAGGTCCTTTTGTTCACGTAGAGACCAAAAGAAGTATCAAAATCAGAAGGAATATAACCAGTTGCTCCTTGATGTGAAGGATGTTCCTCAGGACGAGAAAGAGAAACTAATCAGCAATGTCAAAGCAATGAGGATCATTAGATTCACTTTGTAGGCCGATACTTTTCTTCTAGTTAGTTTGTGTGATACTGCGAAAGCCATCCGGGATCGGCCCAAGGCACTTTACTCCACTTACGCAGATCTTGAGCATTCTAAATGAACACTCATGCCTTCAGAGTTTGGTGCCTTCATACAAAAGCCAGAAGAAAATCTGAGCCAAAAATTCAAGTGGTATAATCATCTTCTTAGCAAGATGATGAAACATGGTATTGAATGTGAGGTGATCGACAAAAGGTTACTCTAATGAATGGGCTTAGATCTGAGTGGATGGTAGTGGTCTCTACTGTCAAAGCGCACGAACAGTTCAAAAGTTACACTTTATCCAAGATTTTTGGGATTCTTAAGGCACATTAAAGTGAGGTGTCGAAAAAAGCAAAGTTTGTTTATGGTATGGGGTCCCTAGCTCTTGTTACGAAGGGCAAGATAGTTACAGAGGATGTGTCTGAGTCTGATTACTCTGAATTTGATCTTACAAACAAGGAGTATGCTTTGATGGTTTCAAATCCTAAGCGGTTCACAAGGAATAAATTTCCATTAAACAAAAACTGAAACTGGCAAGTCAGTTACAACTCAGAAAAGGTGAAAGAGGAGAATAAAAGTTCTTCACAAAAGGAGGAAGAGAAAAAGGAGAAGAAGCTCATTGGTGACTCTAGCTATGAATGCAACAATCATTTGGCTAATGAGTGCATGCTAAGAAGGCTAAATGAGAGGAATGAAGGAGAAGATGATGAGACTTACCATATCCAAAAGTTAGAGGAAATCAAGAAGAAGAATACTACTGATAACTCTATGTCTGCTTTTATTGTGCATGAAAATGTGGCAGTAAACGAGTTTATAGGAGTTGAAATCTGGTCAACTGACTCAGAAGATGAAGAGGTTCGCAGTCCCACATACGATTGGGCGTTCGTTGTGAAAGAGGAGAGTTCACGGTTTACAAGAAGGTGTATAATGGTGTCAAGTGGTAGTTCACAGACGCAGGAGAATGATACCGGGAGTGGAAGAAGAGAAGATAGTTGTTTCACTGCAAGACCAGTTCCTGAACAAATCAACAAATATAAACAACTGATTAACAAGGTAAATCTAATTCTTGAATCTCTCAATATACCCGTATCTAGATACAAAACTAAGTTAACTGACCTAAAATTTACCTTTTCAAACATTAGTGATACTTTAAAAAGAACTTGTTTGACGAACTCTAACCTAACTGATCAAATTAGCAGGGTTTTGTCGAAAAGCAATGAGAGGTGAATATGGATTGAGAAGATTGAGTCCGATTTGTCTAAGTCTATGGATTAGTTAATTTACTTGCAACCAGACAATTTGATGCTTTTAAAACAACGTAACTTTTTTTGCTTGATTGCTAAAAGGCTTTATTTTAACATTACTCAGTTGCACCTTGATTGTGAGGTTGGTGAGAAAATTTACAAGATGATTTTGCCATTTCTCGAATTAAAAGAAGATGAAATTGACGTCGACTATTATAAGTGCGAATCCATCGTCTCGTCAGAAGAGACTTCTAATGCTTACCGGGTAGGACTTGAACGAATTGAATCATACATTAAGTCCAAAGACCACAAAAATAGTTAAAACAACTTTTGGATGAAAAAGATAAGAAGCAAATTACATATGATAATATACAAAAATTCATCTTATTGAGTGCCAAATTGAGTTTAGAAAATAAGATAATTGTTGAAAGCAAATCTGAATTCGATGAGGACAGTGATATGAGCCAAATATATGTAGAGGATGAGGTGGATTGCTTAGAGTTTATTAAAAACGAACCTGAACCTGTGAAAGATTTGATTTCTGAAAATTTTGCTGAATTCGCATGAATTTCTGAAAATAAACCTGAAATTTTAAAAGCTAAAGCAACAGTTTTTCCCAAAGTGCAAAATGTCCCTAATCAAGTGTTCGCTACTAAAGGACCAGATAAAAATCAAATTGTCAAACTAACATCCATCGTCAACGAAGATAACAAAGATGGTTGTGATGAGGTCTTTTGGTCCGCTCATATAGATAATGCAAATGAAACAAAGGGTCTGTCTGAAAGAACCTCGTGGAGAGTAAAACGAAGTTATGTGGAAGAACCACTGAACAATCATTCCAGCTATGAGAAAGGAAGTCCAAGTGGAACAAAGGAAGTTGCAAGTGAACCTCAAAAGGACGAATCTCATGCAAGAAAAATGAACCAAAAAGGAACTTTGTTTGAAAACCTTCTCTTTCAAAGAAGCCCATTGAGAAACCAAAATCTCATCATTCTTAACCCACGAAGGCTTCGTTTAAAAATGTCATAGGAAAGGGAAAGTTAGTCTCGGATTCTGAAGCTCAAACCTATAAATCGCTCACTCATCACTACCTGCCATCAAAAAAATCAAAACTTGATTCTTGATTTGATTCCCTTCAAGTATGATTCTTTCATGTTACGAATCATTGGATGCTTGAATTACTCCCCTTTAGTCACTTCCTTAACTATGGTTGAGTGCATCCTAATGTCTTTACTCTCAAAGGCTTATTCCTCAACATCATACATCAAGGAAGAAGAACACACCACATTTGAAATCTCTGACAAGAAAACTTCTATCAAGAAGTCAATGTTTTGTTCTCTGTTACGACTTACATATGATTACTTTATGGGGAATCTAGACTCAATCTCCATCGCAACTATTGTGGAGATGTTTTATGAGATGGGGTATAAAGATCTCATTCCTTCAATATCAAAGTTCAGAAAACCCAACTTGCCTCCTCAATGGAATGGTCTACTTACTCTTCTTTTCAAAGCTTTCTCTGGAAGAATCACGCCAGTAAGCTCTTTATGACTCTTATGTATGCTCTTTACCATGGCATCAATCTGGATTTTTGCACCATTCTATAGGCTCACCTAGTGTAAAGTACTCATTCCACAACTCGACAAAGTAAGATTTCATGTGCTTGATTTTGGACTATTTTTGTTCAACGGGTGATTGAAAACACCAAATCCCATGATGCAAGATTCACTGATGTCCTCAATTCCACTTTTTATACAACCAAGATGCTCATTGTTGACAACTCGAAGTTTCCCTTTGCTGGCTCTTATTTTTCAATGTGTGCCAACAGCAAGTAAAATTTTGGAGAAGTAGAAAGAAATTCTATCTTTACGAGCTCGCACCATTACTCCTGAGATGCGCACAACAATTGAAGATGTTGACAAGGTGAAAAAGGGAGGTAAGCAAAAGCAAATGAAAGAGGCTCCCTCTGAGCTAACTGTGACTCTATAGAAGCGAAAGGAAAAAGCTTCTCCTTCAACGTCAAATCCTAAAAGGAGAAAGCAACCAACTCAGAAGAGAAAGACCCCCACTCCAAGTGCAAGCGAAGGTTCGGAGGCTGATACTCAGTCAGACATTTATGTTGAGGAGGATGATAAAGTTCGCAACGAGGATGAACATATTCACAACAAAGAAGAGACATCCAATCCTGAGGTAACTCAAAATTTTAACGATTCAGTTCCTTTTCCTCCTACTTCACCTAAAACTACATCTATCCTGATTACCATTGCACTATGCCTTCCACCCGTTTCTTCACAACAAAAAACTAGCATTCCTCTTTCAATCTCAATGTTCACTGATTCTATAGTTCCACCTACTACCTCTACCACACCTTTTGTTTCAGTCAATGTATCTGATATGGGGGCTAAAACTTCAGGTTTCTCAACCCATGTTACACCTTTTGTTTCCCCTCATAACCGAGCTGACCCATATATGATCTTTTATGATGCTGAAGATGAAGATCATGGAGGATAAACTTACAGACTTTTCCACATACGGACTGAGAGTGAAGATAATGTGCTTGTTTCAAAAGCGCAACTTCATTACATACATGAAAATATTGATCAACTGCTTCCCACTTCCCAGGATTCATCTTATAACACAGAATCTAAAGCAACAATTGAGTCTCTCTTTGACAGAATCACGAAGGAGCATTCTGCTAATGCTACAAAGATGAATAAAGTAGTTGCTGATTCTGCCAAAGTTTGCAAGACAAGGACTGAAGAAGTCGATAAACTAATATTGACACTACTACCTTCATGGAGAATTTTAAAACAACCTTCAACACCAGTACCACTGCAGCCAATGAAGCTCTAAAGAATCTGGGTTCTCTCTTCAAATCTAAGAAGACGAAATTGCAAGAGATTCGTACTGATCTGAAAAATGACCATGAAGTATTTTAAACCTTCATCTTTTATCAAATTTCCAAGCTTCAAGATGAACTGGAAAAGGAGAGTAACATCACAGACTCTCGTTCCCTATAAACAGAAGAAGTAAAGGTCTTAAGTGCAAAAGTAGAAGCTTTAGAGAAATAGGTTAATGATTTGTTAGCTGACAGAGCTATCATGCGAAGCTGTATTATGGATGTTACATGCATGATCTCCGATATTATTGAGACAAGGGACTCAATGCTCACCATCACATTCTGAAAGCATCTACAGGAGAAAGTGCGACCCGTTTTTGCCATGCTTCACGGGCTAGTAGGTGTTTCGAATAAAAGCTTTAATAAAAAACAAGGGGAGAAGGTATATCTGGTGGGTAAAGGAAAGAAAGAGAAGAAGATCCCAAAACTCCAGTTAAACCTGTTGTCAAGCAAGAACCTAAGGGCAAGGAAACATTGTTTAGTAACGATCCCTTCTTCGATAATTGTGAAGATGAAGAAGAGCTGGATGAAAACGAGCTAAAAACGTGAAAGGCTCGTGAAGTTGAAATGGATAAGCACCAACGGATCATAAGAGAGGATGAAGAAAAAGAAAGATCCGAGAAAGAAGCTTAGGCCACTCTTCAAAGCAAGAAGCTTTTATTTCCTAAGTGGACCTTGAAGGGAATCTTGAATGATGCTGTCGATTTACCCAACAAATATTGGTTAGAGCCTATTATGTCGTTTTATCTTCAAAACACACAAGATTCGCAATTCGATCTACCAATCACTCCAAAGGCTTTTAGATTCCCTTCTTTTTTGAAGGTTACGAATGTTCCATTCATAGATAGCAGGGTTGATCACATGTTGTTTTCTTTTTATCTAAAGCATATGAAGTTGCAATACGAAACATGGTCATTAAGTAAAATAACTGGTGTGAAAGTTACATGACCAACTGAGACTGACAACTTCCCGAACGCGAAGTTCAAAGTGGCAAGAGTTTCAACCAGTGAATGCTACGTGTTCACTCTCGTAGAATTAGCTTGTTTTAACCCCAATGATTGGATTGTTCTTTACAACATGCTGCTGAAAGACAAAGAAAAACACGAACCTGTAATGTCTCATCTCCAGATAATGATCAAATATTAAGTTCAGGAGACTGGGGAAATGGATGTTGAGGTAGTCGCACTGTTACAAAAGAATCCTTCTGCTATTCTTAAGGAATATCCAAAAGACTTTGAAAAGCTTAAGTTAGGGATGATTTATAGTAGGGAATGGTATGTGGTGTATCAAGCTAGGGAATGAACTGATGCAGACTCTCGCAGGGGATGCTTTTTCCTTTCTGAAAAGCATTTGTATACTATATCTTTTGTTGAGTATATCCTGGAATTAGTGAAGAAATTCAAAGGCAACAGTAAGGATGATCTCAAGTGCTTCACTGATATGATTTTGTGGTACATGCAAATTCGACAAACATTTTTTGGTATTATTCCCAAAGTTTATGAAGTTTAAAAGCAAATTCAAGGTTAATGTGTTCAGGCCTCAATTGACGCAAAGGGGGAGATTCTTGGGTATTATATGTTGCATTATTAGGCTTTTAAATTTAGTCTTTTTGTATTAACGATTTGGTCTTGTCCACTCGTATTTATGTCTAGGGTTAGAATATTTATGTGACAACTTGGAATTTTCTTTCTTGTAAAGTCAATTAATTCAATCAAAAGCCATACTTTTTTCTGTTACCTTTATGTTGTGTTAAGGGTCGGTTTGATAGTTTTTATGCCTAGTACCCTCAAGGATTGTGTGTTATGAAGTGTTAGATTGTAATCGTTGAGTTGCAATCAAGCCGGAAACACCATCAAAAGCAGTTTACGACCGCAAACCAGGTTCATGGTCGTGAACCCATCTTTGGGCCGTGAACATCCCTTATATATATGTGAAGTTGGCTCATTCTTTTCATCACCTTTTCAAGCTCCATCCATGAACATCTCGCTTCTCTTTCAACTATCTTCAACCGTCATCACCTCTAAAGGCCTCAAAACGTAAGTTTCTCATTCCTCTTCTTGTTTTCCCCTTGAAACACTTGATTCAACCCTTGATACAACATTTATTTGCAAGATCTTCAAGAGTTCACGGTCGTGAACCCTTCATAGGTTCGTGAACCCTTCATTGGATCTTGGACCGTGAACCGTTGTTAGGCCATGAACTCCCCATGTTTGGCCGTGATAACCTTTCAACCTCCTATTTTCGATTCTAACACCTTATTGCAAGTGTTTCCTACTTCCTATAGTTGTTTGCTATGCATATTAGTTGTTATAAGCACTAATTATGTACACACACACACACAGATATATATATATATATATATATATATATATATATATATATATATATATATATATATATATTATGCTATATAGGATCCATTGGTGCGTCAGGACTTCATTTGTGAACTCAAGCATCCTATATCTATCATACATAGCAATCACTCACTAACAGGTGAGTTCATATGCCTTCAATCAATCATTTACATGTTTTAAATACTTTTTAGGGGGGATACAAGTTGAAACACAATAGAATTGTGTTTGTTTTTACATTTTATTACCTGCAAACAAAAGGAATTTACTATTTTCAAACATTATTAAACTTCATTTCAAAACCCTTTTGAAACTGATTATAAACTCTTTTAGTTTCAAAACATATTTATATAGATATTTGTGTATAAGTATGCTTTAATGGACTTAGGACTAATGTTAATTAACTTGACTCCTCTTCCTTGTTTGGTTGTGGGCTTAGGGTAGGATTCACTACTCCGAATGTCGATTAACTTATGTTTATACATACTAAATACTTATATGAATATTAAATCTCATTCACGAGGTTATACTTAAGTTAATTGTTTATGCTTAACAATTGAATCATTTCAACAAGTCAATTATACAATAATCGTACTAGTAAACTATAATAGGTATAGTTTAGATATATATATATATATATATATATATACGAGAACAAGAAGTAACACTATACATATACATTTACAAAAGGAACATATACATTTATAGTAAAACGGAAGGAACATACACACTATACAAGTACATGATAAGTAAAATGTGAGATACTAATTCATTGCATATCAATACATTTGTTGTGTCATGTTTTGTAACCAGAGTCTCCTGGAGGGAGATAGTGAGTTTTTGAATAGAACTATACGGGATTGACCCTCCCACACCTCACTGCTAGGTACAGTGGGACCTGCAAGTCCATGGGTGAACAAATGGCAAACCTTTTCGACGTCTGAAGAGCGTCGTGTGTCTATACTAGGTCGACCAAGTATGGTTATCACTTCAATCACATTTTAATCCTAAATTAACCAACTTGGTTATAAAGCAGTAAAACTATCAGTAGAATATTTTAACTAATAAAAACACTTCATTTTCATTACTTTAAGAGAACAAATGTACAAACAGTCGGGTCTTGGTAGAAGACTACATTTCATTATAAACATAAAATATAGGATTTTTTGGGAAAGTAAATTAACATTTTTATGATACAAATACACTCATTTATGTAAAAAAAAATGCAGCATAATGACATTAAATACTTATGATCTCACCATCATTTTTAGGTTGACGCTCTATTTCAAGATAACTTGTATTCTCAGGAAACCAGTAAGACAGGACTCGTTCATCTTTTGAGAAGAAGAAGCGGAATTCAAGACTTGTCTTATTCTTTTGTTGCATTTATTTTTGGTGTCATTTAAACTTTATAAACAACACACTTGTACTATCTATACTATTTAATGCAATGTATGTTGTTGCTTGATTTACTATTATACATTGTTATGATACTATACATGATGTCCTCCACCCCCGAATGTTTCCGCCAATTCGGTTTAGGGGTGTGACAGATTGGTATCAGAGCTTTGTTTATAGCGAATGAAGTATATCAACCCATAAGATATATGTGACAACCCGATATTTGAACTACATGTAAACGACCTAAAAAGTTAAATATTGTAACCACGTTAGTTGTAATAAAATTAACTTCGAAAATAAAATATCCAAAAATCACTAATTAAATTACCTATTATGTTAGATGTCATTAAACCATGATCGTACGTAAAAAGAACGCCCAAATCCGACTTCGTATAAGAAAGTTAGGAATTTTTCAAGTTCGGCTTAACGGCAGGCGACTAAAAACTCGAATCAGTGATCGAGCGACTTTTGACCGGAATGACCTAAACGAGAATCGAAGGTCTCAACAATGGTATGTCAGCAGTAAAAAGTCTGGCAAAAACCGACGTCAGATAAAGAAGTTATGAATTTCTAAAGAAATTTTCTTACCGCGACCTTTTAAAAATAAATAATAAAAATAATTTCGGAATTTGCCAACGGGACCTAAACGAAAGTTGTAGAGTATGGTCTCACCTTCGTGTGGATATAAAGAACGTCGAAAACGGAGTTCGTATGAAGAAGATATGAATTTTTGAAGTTTGCTAAATAATTAATATATAAATTTAATTCAAAATTCGGTATTATCCGAAGGGTGAGTCACCGGGTCCGTCCGAATTACGCGGGGCGTACAGGCGTACGCCCCGCGTACTCGAGGCCTTGGC